ACAAAGGTGCCGTGTGGAAGAGAGAGGAAGGATATAGGGAGGAATAATTTTGAGGGAATGAAGTATTAGGAATTTGCATATGTCTTGGCCAAACATTTTGATGATGAGCAGAATGACACAGGCTTAATACAAGATTGTCAAATTGAGTCATAGATTTCAGAGGTAGCTTGGAACCACATGAAGGATTCCCAATGCCAGATAAATCTGAACTCCAGCCACTATATAAGAACAATCGAACTTCACTTCTGCATAGAAAAATGAGCAATACAACTCCTTCTCTGGGATTACAGCCCTGCAGGGTCCTCCACATATAGCACCAACAGCGAGGTGAAGCAGACCTATCAACACCTATACTTTACCAATGAGACACTGAGGCAAAGAGGTTGAATGACTCATCTAAGCTCTCCCATCTTGTAAGCCTGATGAGGAGAATCTGGCTCTCTCACTACAGGGTTTCTGGGGAGAAATGCCCAAAGTGCTGTGCCATGAATACCTGCCCTGGTGAGCATTGCCCAGTGGCCTTTCTGGTGGCACAGAGTGGCGGAGAGGGATCCTCAGCATCTCCAATTTCCATCAGCAATGATGATGCTCGGGAGCTTACCCCTGGAAGAGACCTTTCTTTTTCCTTTCTTTTTTTTTTTTTTCCTCCTAGGCATGGATCTTGCTCTAGGGTGTTTTCCAGAACCTTCACTGCTCCCTAATTACCCAGTCATACTGAAGGTTTCTAAAAATGTCGTCATTTGTGTAAGGAGGGGAGGGAAGACTGAACGAAGAAGAAAAAAAGAAAGAAAGAAAGTGCTGTTAAAGCTGGCAGAACTCCAGGGTGGGTAATTACATTCTTTGGGGTGTGTTCTCACCACACACATAGTCTGCAGAGTATTTTAGGAGCCTTCTGTATGAATTGCGCTAGGAAACATGAAAATCCTGTCATTATTATTTTTTAAGTGTATTTAAAAACAGAGGTTTTGTAAAGCTGCACAGGCACCCTCTTTCTGATTGCAGTTTTGCCAGTTTATTAGCTGTCAGTGATCTGCTCTCAGATCGTAAATTTGATGTCCCCCCATCCCTTGAACTATTCTCACACAAACAGTCAAAGATTTTCAAGAAGAAGCCATGGTACAGCCCCTATATCATACAGATGGAAATGGTAGCCCAAGGAAGAGAGGGACTTCACAGCCACGGCCACTGGTTAAAAAAAGGGGTGGGGAGAAGGGCAGATGAGTCTCACCAACCATGGTTCCTTTCCCTTTCCTTCCTCAACCCAGCTCTTATTGTCAAGTGGAATCCTCATCTGTCAAAAGCAAAAGTATCTACAGCCATTAGCTCATCTAATCTTGTCAGTTATAGATGAACAAACAGGGGCCTAGAGAGGAAATCAAACTGGTTCCAAGTCGATATTGAGCAGGTGACTGATTTGTCTACAGGCTTCCATTAGCCTTCTGTGGCTTGAGAACCAGATCATGCCTAGGAGACACAAACTCTACCATCATTTCCTCCCTACCACCATCAACACACCAACCCTTGCAATGAAGTATAATAAATATTACAACAACCTAACAAATAATGTCATTGTGTATACTTTTTCCTTGAAAGACTTTGGAGACTGGACCACTCTGGGCCTACATTTCCTCTTGGCAACAATGGGCACCCATTGAGCACTTGCCACTCCCTTTGACAGAATTCTGTTTGTTCTCATTACCCTGCTGCCTCTCCAACTCAATTCACTTCAATTATTTCCCTGCCTGGCCCAAGAAAGCATTTGATTTAGAAATCCCTGAACAATGCATTCTCCCTGATTTGCAGAGTAAAACTTAAGCCAGATATGTAAATCTTAGGCTATTTGGGCTACATGCTAACAGAATTTAAAGCACAGCAAAGATCAGAGTCAGATCTTTGGGTCATGACAGACCTGAGCAGTAGGTGTCAGGTCATATCTGGAGCACAGTTTGAGTATCAGGTAGGAGGTTTTCCTCCTGCCTGGTCCATTTCCTGGAATCCTTCCAGTTTAACATCTGTCTGGACTTCAAGGAGCACCCATCATCAGTTATCTAAATCAAATCATTCTCTCATGTAGTAGAATGGGGAGGAAGACTGGAACAGGAGATCTACTGTCTAGTTCTTGACACGGTCTGCTTTGGGTGTATGTGTCTTCTGCTTCTATCACAAATCCTGCTTCCAGGCAGACCACACTTGGTTCCTTACCATACTCCGCAGCACCCGACACCCTGATACATACAAAGAAGGTTCACCATCAACATTTGTGTTGGAGAGAATTTTCAAGGGAAATAGGAGCAAGAGCTTAATCTAAATAAATTTGATCTGGACAATCAAATCTGAGATGTGTTAAGTTTCATACCTATTAAATCATTGAATATCATGTATTTGATAAGTCCAGGGAAGCTGTGACCACACGTGGTGACACAGATCTATATTTTAAGAATACAAACTAACAGAGTATATATAATGATCACAGTACATCTTTCTGATTTCTTTAAGTACCTCTCCCCAGTAAGAAAAGCAATTTTTTTTTTCTTATTGCAGGTGGGAGTTAAGATTTTGGTTAATTAATCCTTTTGTAAAGGGCCTTGAGATCATCTTTTGAAAAATGACATAGAAGTGTGAATCCTTTGGTGACTGCCTAATTATTATGATGATGATTACCAGGCACAAAGCTCAGAGAACTTAAAAGATTCCCAGGTATCCTTCAAAGAAAAAATGCAAATGGTGAAATTATAAGATGGAATCCTTGAGTCATATTCTTAATGTAGCAGGAAGTTACTATAGAATACAAAATGTATAGGAATAAGATTGAAATGGACATTTTGTGATAGGATGATCATTTTTATTCCTTGTTTATATTTCTGTAGAACTGTGGCCTTCTACTTTATGCTTGTTGAATTTTATGGTTAGTGGTGAATTAAGCCTGTGAATATAGAATGGATTAAAATCACATATTTGCAAAAATTTATATATTTGCAAAAACTGATAGACATAAGAGTCAGGAAAGGAGTTGGAGGGGGAAGGAGCATGCTCACCTTCTTGGAACTATACCTACAGAATTCATGAAACCTGTTTCTTTATAGTAATAATTTTTTTTAATATTAGCAGGCACTTTGGAAGTGATCTTTCTGGATTCAGTTATCCCAGCATCCCAAAGCCGATGCTTGTATCACCTCGACAATGTCCCTGCCCAGTACTGACTGCTATTAGAACCTAGCACTTAAGAGCTTTGGCCTGTTGATAACATTTCCTATGTTTAAATCTCCAATCTCTTTCTTGTTTTCAGTGAAAACCTGGGCAAATTATTAACCATCATTTTCCTTATCTGTGAGATGAGGATGAAGTTTTCCAAAAAGGGATTGTTTTGTTGTACATATCAATGATGTGTCTGCACTATTTGCCATGGCTTCTGACACATGCTAAATGATAGATAAACAGCTTTCAAAAATCACTTGAGCTAGTTAATAAATATACATGAAAGTACATGAGAATTATCAGGCATCTGACCTTCTTTAGGATTTCCACTGAACACATCAGCTATTTCTTGCCAATTCCAGTTCCTGTAGCTGTGATTAAACAGTCTCAGAGTAAAGTGAAGAGACTCATCGAATTGGATAAAACAGCCTATTCGAGTGGCAAAGCACAGTCAGACCCAAAGTCTATCCCCTCTCTTTCCAACCAAGGAAAAGGTGAACTTTCCTTTTCGAGGATTATCCTCTATTGACTGGGAATCCTGACCACAACTATGTGTCTGTTAATAATTATAGCATTCAGGTTTTACAGAGTAAGCCATCACATCCAAGTAGCTCTATACACCATGGCCACATCTGTGGAAGCTCAGTCTCTCTAGCAGTCACATGGAATTCCCGGCCATTGCAGAAGGTGCGCAGAGATAACACTGCACATCTGCTTTGTGAATTGAGGAGTGTTCTCTGACTGCCAATGACTGCTGTTTAAAAGCCTACTCTAATGCTTTGAACACAGCTGTCCTCTCCACAGGTTATTATGGTGGAAGCCCTGGTTAAGGAAGGTCCAAGGAGTTCCAGCTTATGTTCAACCTGACCAGCATCCAGAAACAACCTAAGGAAACCAGAATTCTCTCACTAGAATCGGTGCAAAATGACTCACGTAATTGCTCCATGTAAGTATCCTTAGTCTTTATTGTACACCCACACAATTCTGATGCTGAAGACTCCTGTGCAGTGCAAGAATAAAGGGGGAAGGGGACATGGTCAATGCTTAGAATTTAGGAGAGACCACCAATTGTGCCTGTGAAAGTAGACAAGTGCTTTCAGATATGCAAATCAACACACCTGTCCATCATTCCAGATCCTCCCATTGTTTGTCTATCTGCCATTCTTTCCACTAAGAGGGGGGAAAGCTTGGAGACCTTTGTTTCTTCTTATTATTTTTTCCTTTAAATTTCCCAGGAGGAATTTCTAGGGTCTTCCCCTCAGGAATTAGTTCTATGAATAATTGGGCCAGTGGAGTACAGGACATACGTATCCAGCGCAGCCTGTGTACTTCCAGAAAAAGTGACCTAGATCAATCTGGTGAATTGAGGAACCTAGGACTAGTGTGGGGACCCCCTGCCACCTACTGACTTATAACTGAACCCACATTCTCCAAAGCAACAGCTTGGCTGGAGCTAGAGGAGGGGGCAGTGAAAGCTGAGGAAGGTGGGGGGGAGGGTGACAGGGACCCTCGGCTGCCCTTTCAGTATCCAGGGCCAAAAATCAACCCTACTGCTCCTCTCTCTCCCCCCTTCCCCTCTTCCACACATACATAGAAGGGTGGATCAGGTGAGGATGGGGCAGCAGGGCTGATAGCTAGAGCAGACAGCTGTGTAGGTTTGAGCTGCCGCTCTGTGGATATTAGCAGAGAGAGGGAGAGAGAGAGAGATCGCTGCCTGTGTGAGTGTGAGGGGGAGAGCGAGAAGGAAAGCGCAAGGGAGGGAGAGAGAGTCTGTGAGAGGAGAGGGTGAGGGAGAGGGGGAGCAAGCGCTCCAGCTAGCATGAGGACGGGCTTCTCTTCCCCTGCTCAGTTAATCTGGCTGTCAGTTGGTGTTAACGCTGCAGTTCAAGTGCTCGGATTCCAAGGGAAACAGACAAACCTTACAGAAGGAAGGAAGCAAGCAAAAGAGGAAGGAACTGCAGGAAGAAAAGAACAGGCAGAACAGCGAGAGGAATAAAGGGAAGGGGGGGAAACACCAAATCTATGATTGGACCTGGGCTTCTTTTTCGCCAATGCAAAAAGGAATATGCAGCACATTTTTGCCTTCTTCTGCACCGGTTTCCTAGGCGCGGTAGTAGGTGCCAATTTCCCCAACAATATCCAGATCGGTGAGTGAGAGGGGCAGTTGGGGAGGGACTTTCTGGGTCTGGTCAGGTTTTCTTTTGGGGGGGGTTGTTATGTACTGCCCCTCCCCAGTGCAAGCTGTTGTGCTTGGCCATCTAAAGCCTCGCGGCAGCAGTTAACAAAAAAAAAGACTTGGACTGCCAGCGAGGGGAGGGGGTCTTCTCTGGGTGGCATGAGGGACATGGGGAAGTGTTTATCACCATCTCTCACCCCCCCACACACACACACAGGTACACATGCACCACTCACGCTCCAAAGGGACGCGTGTGAAATGGAGGAATCCCGCTTTGGAGGAGAAGGAAGCCAGGCTGTAGCACAGAACAGGGTGGTGGGTGTTTAAGGAGTTAACTCTGTTGCTTGGTTGATGGAGCCTGATTTCATTTATTTATATAAATATGTATGCTGTGTTTATTTACGTGTGTGGTTCTATATTACATATACATGTATATATTTAATTGAGGGAGCTAGGAATTTCTTTGCTAGGGGAGCAGAAAGAGACCCTGTGAAAGAAGGAGTAAAGGGTGCTGGGTTGATTACAGCCACTGAAATAATGCCAGAGGCTCCTCTGGAAGACAAGGGGACTCTCTCTGCTCTGGACTCATCTAGCTGCTTTCTCTTTGCTCTCTGCCATGGTGGGCTGGTGGTCTCTACTCTCCAAAATAGAACTTCCTAGCTAGCCTTTCTCCATCCCTTTACTTCCCCCTACACCTAGATTTTGTGTTCACAGAGCCTGTCTTTCTTTTACACACACACACACACACACACGCACACACACACATACACTCCTTTCCCCTCCTGTTAGCTGTCTTCCAGCACAGGGCTCCATCTGGTCAACTTGGAGGCAGGTTTCACATACTCCTGCCCGTTGGTCCCTTCCTTGATTGTTGGGCTTTTTTATCTCCCACCCCCACCACTCACATTCATAGGCAAGCCAGCAAGTAATGTTACTCCTAATGGGAAACAGCAAAACAAACAAGAGCAGTGACATCGATAGCAGAGCATAGCCACAAGGGACTGGGGCTTCACTGTGGCCAGTGTGTCATGATAACAGTGTCCCGGAATCCAGGCAGCTGCTTTGCTTAGAGGCACCTTGGTTGGCTTAGTTTCTGCTTTCTCCCCTCTGGTTGGAAGGCAGGTGTCTCAGGGACAGTTTGCAGTGCTTTTTGCCTGTCTCCTATAGATGTATGTTGCTGTGGGGATATATTGGAAGAGGGGCATGCGGGGAAGTTGGTATTTTCTCAGGCTCACATGTGCAGCAATAGCCATCCTTGTTGGCCTTTCTGAACAGATGGCTCCAAAGGTAGTTGGAGTGGCCACAGAGTAAGTTGCTTTGTCTCCTGACACCTGTTAAGCTACATTCACAAGTGCGTATATATATGAGTGCTGGTGCTTTACACACAAAACTTCCTGCCTTTCCAAGATGCTTGCTTTGCACCCTATTGTGTATTTTTATAACCCTCCCCCCCACACACACACACTTCCGCAACCCCTTTCATTCACTGAGAAAGAGAAGGAAGGGGGCAGATAATTTTTTGGGGTGTGGCCATCTGGGAAGGAAGGTGAAGTATCTAAACCAGTATTGTTTATTTCTTGTTACTGTTTAAAATGGAGGTATATATACACATGGAAATCCCTTACCTGTAGCTTTGTTTATGCTTGTACTTCTAAATGGCCAATACTTAAATAATTATAATCACTTATATAGGAATATGTGAGTCTGCTTTCTCTGAATATATTTGTGTGTATCACCGTGAGTATAAATGCTTGGGAGTGTTTTGTGTATGTGTAAATATAGTATTTGCTCATGTACTGCTGCATATTTTTCATGCTATTTAGAATGAACTTGATTTTCCAACTGAGAAAATCTGTTAGTGAGAAAATTGTTGCTGTTTTCAAATAAAAGGTAGAAACATGAAATTGTAGCACAAATGCTGAAACATCACCACCATCAGGTAGTCCTTAATTCTACTTGTATGATCTCACAACAGCCTTGTAATCCATTTATTAGTTCTTAAAAACAAACATGCATCCACTGTATAAGAAGTTAGAAGTGCATTCCATTGGGACTGTGATTCCTACTGATATGAAACAAACTTTGATGTAAACATTCTCTGTAGTTAGATCTCTGAAAAAGCTGATTTCCTCTTATGGAAGAGTATTTTAATCTGTTGATGTGTCCACAATAAACATAACAGTCAGCCATATACTCTTGTTCTTGCAACAGGAGCTGTGACAGCCACCTTTCAAGTGTTTTCAATATACGCATTCTCCTGACATTTTAAAGATCCCACATCCTTAAAGCACAAGGTGCTACCAAGCAAACACATCATGATAATCCCTTATGTAACAAGCCATTCCTAGGCAACTGGGATCATGAATGGCAAAAGGAACACCCTCTTTGCCAAAATTAAGGTGTTTCAGAGGAAATGAATTATAAAACTTAGGAGCAACAGATTTGTTAAATCTCCTTGAGATTTTGCCAGCTCAAAGACCAAAAGTATCATAGCAAAGAGAATCTCTGAGAAGCCCACTGGAGTCCCAGAGCTAAATTGCCATCACTCTGCAACATGTATCAACACCTATTTCCTCTGTGGTGAGAGCTGGGGACCACACAAGACAAGGACAACTTGGACACAGGGAGGCTTGATGTGTGTGCAACAGCATAGGCCTCCCAGGTAGTTTCAAAAAGAGAGGAAAATAAATGCAACCAGTCTCCTATTTTTCTCTGACCTTAGCTGAGTTAAGGGTTGCACAGTCAAGCCAATACGTGAACAGGGTGATGGGCATTAGAGAACCTTATCACATAAAAGCTTATCTGTTAAAGTTTAAGCTTCACCATTGAGTCGAGTCTTTTTGAACTCTTACCCCTGCCAATGAAGATCACAAAGAGCAAGTGTGACAGTAGAAAGAAAAGGGCTCATTTGGGGGGGGCTGTTGAAGAACTAAAACCTGTCTCTAGTCCAAATACCATGTTGTGCTTTTCTTTCCTCACAGGGGGATTATTTCCAAACCAGCAATCACAAGAACATGCCGCTTTTAGATTTGCTTTGTCACAACTCACAGAGCCCCCAAAGCTGCTTCCCCAGATTGATATTGTGAACATCAGTGACAGCTTTGAGATGACCTATAGATGTAAGTAATTGCTTCTATTTCTGAGATTTCTTTCTGCTACAACTATGAAAGGAGAGCCTGTGGGGAGGTGGTGTTGTTGCCAAAATGACTTGAGTTGTCATTCGTCTTCATAAGAGAAAGCCCTCCAAGAAAAATTCCAAGAGCTTTTTGAGTGATTCCAGCAGTTGGTATTTTAGATCCTGCAATGCTTCATGGGAGGGGTTGCTTTTTCACTGTGAGCTAACTTTAAATGCCAGCACGTTGGGTACTTAGGTTGACTGCTTCTCTCCTGCCTCGCTAAAGATTCCTGATTTCACTGAGTGTGCCACACACAAGAAACTTCTGAGAGATGTAGACTTAACGGTTATGAATTCTGGAGAACGTGATTTAAAATGCTCATGCAATTTCCAGCCTAGGGCTTAAAAGGAGAAAATGTTCCAACAACTTGACAAGAAAGGATAGATGAGAAATTGTGTATCTGGTTTCCCATTTTTGGAAGTGATTAATAATTATTGAAATTTTGGTGCTTTGATTATTTCCAAAAATGGGCTTGGTGTGATTGACTGTTTAAGGTATAGGTTATAAGATAGCCTATGGGCATAAAATAAAACAGAAGTGACCTCAAGCAGGAGAAGGGACAGCTAAATCTCTGACATCAGAGTTAAATACATTATAAAAATGTGTGCAACAAAATCTCATTATGAATTTTTTTGACAGCTAGGATGGAAAAAGAATCCTGTGTACATTATCTTATGTCAGATGAAAGCCAAAAAGTTAACCAGCAGAGACATTTCCCTCTGAAGATTAAGTTCAGGTAGAAGTTTATGTCAGGGAAGTGTAAAGGAAATGGGGAAAAACAATTTGAGAACCTAAACTGGATTAGATGAAGATTATAGGCATTATGAGCCACTAATGACTTGATGACTTTGCTGAGCTATGGGTGGTTGAAGGGACTAACTATATTTTCTTCATCTTTTCTCCATATTCCTACATGGAATCTCTAGGTGATTTGAGCTGAATGTGCTTAAATTCTCAAAATTAGAATTCAAAGCCCTCCCTTTTCCCAAGACAACCCGTGTAAGACAGTGTTGAAATTAATTTCAAGGAATTTAATTATACTAAATTCCACTTTCTGAGACTTGTCATGCATCAAGAATGATGACCAATACTTTGTAGACTTATAGAGTAACATTCATCATTATTTATTAAGCACTGACTGTAGTTAGCGCAATGTGTTATTTGTTTTTCCAGTCTTAGCCAATTTATTCCTCACAGGAACCGTGCAATGTGCTCTGCTATCTTCCTTTCAGAAAAGAGAAAACTGAGTCAGCAACAGGTTAGGAACATGCCCAAGGTCACACAGGAAGTATGTGTCGGTCCTGTGATTTCCTGAGAGTTGTAATAGATGCACTGATCCTTGTCGCAACTCAATTAATATAGTAATACACTCAAGAAACTAATGGGAATTATCAAAGTTCTATGAGGCAGTGATCAGAAAAAGAAAATAAGTGGGGAAACTAAGTATTCCAATGTAAATGCATGATTCTGCACAGATGTGACCCAATGAATAAACAAAATGGAACTTGAAGTTTGTGGTAGCACTGAAGTTGAAAACTCAGCGTACTGTGGTACACACCACCCTTAAAAAAAAGAACTGAGCTTTTAAAAAAAAATACTTTTGATGATGTTTACAGAGTTAATTAGGGTGGGAAGAGTTGAGAATTAGGGGAAAGTGGGTGAGACCATTGTTTCCACATTTTCTTATTCTTCTTGTATCTGAGGGAAGGGGAGGAATAAGGAGAGAAACTACACTCACACTCTCAACCACCTCAATACCTGGGGATGGGAAAGGCCCATCATCCCAGGCTCCCTGATGTGGAGCATGATCTGAGTGTTCTGCTCAAATGGCTTTAATAGTCCTGAAATGCTGTCATTCTTGCCAATCCAAGGATGAGGAAATCCTTTCAAAGTTCATTGGCTGACACAATCCACCCCAGAATCTCCATTTGCCCAGAAATTTGCTGTCAAGCTTCCCTGGGGTAGTTGACCAATTTCTTCTGCCCTCCTTCCTCTGTTATGGTATCGGGTGTCCTCTGCAGGCTCCAATGGACTGCCAAATCCTCCGTGTGCGTATGAGTTTGCCATCCACTGCTCTGTCCAAGCCACTGAGGAGACCCATTTCTGACACGTGCACTCCACTGAGGCCACAGGTCCCACCACTCTCTTCATGGTTGGAGTTCTGAGTCTAGCAGTTTAGTTGGGAGGGACCCTTAAAGAAATCGCATCTGAACAGATTTAATTGTTGAAGGCTAGCTTGACAAAATCATCTCCTTGAGAAGCTAGTTAAATAATTTCTCAGTATTAGTCTATCAGATGGCCTTCCATTCCTTTTGATATAACTTAAGGTAGGGACTATAAATGGAGAAATTGGGTGTGTCTGTCAATGCATCAAGAAATCACTTGTGCGCAATTGCTTGTGCTAATATATTTCCCAGGGAAAGGTTCCACTGTTTCTTTGATATTCCTTAGCTTTTGTCATACTTTCAAAGAGGTTCATTATTGAAGAAGGATTACTTGCTCAGAGAATCAAGAAGAATAAATAATAGCTGGCATGTGTATTCACTCAGGCTGCTAACAACTGTCTCGGTAGAGCTTGGTGGAAAGAGTTGTTAACTGCTCTCCAATGTGAAGATGTTGACTGGCAGTATATGATAATAAAAAACAAAAGCAGGAGGAGATGTTCTAAAGCAATAGGTACTGCTTCTGTATTATCATCACAGTCTAAAATCTCTAACAGAGCTGTTGGCTATTTATCAGCAAGGCAGAAACATGATACAGGGAATGTTGTTCATTGTGATTAGTGGAGCTTGGATTGAATGGATTTAGAATCTGAGCCTGATGCCTCTGTACATCCATGCACAATTTTCCTTGAGGTCCTGCTTTGTTCATGTGGTAATTTTTAAAATGTTTCGTCACAGCTATAAACTTTAAGATGAACTGGATTGTAAAGATGATAAACATTTCTTGCTTTCAGTAAACTTAAACTCCAGTGGGGACACTGGTGTAGAGGTTGCAGAAAGTAGTAATATCATTTTCTCCTTAGACCCTTGTTTCTTTAGTTTCAACATGAGTGGAAGCTCTAGGCCTTCCGGGGAGAACTGGTAGCATTGTAATTCCTGCCTACTGGAGGAATATCTGTTCATCTTTGTGTGAGGCTAAGGAGAACATTTTAAGGCTATGTTCACTGTCATCCATTGGTCTTGGAAAACCAGCCTTACATGTGTCTCAACTTGAATTGAGTAAAAGAGACAAAGTGATCAGAGAAGTTTGGGGCTGAATAGGCAAATTAAGTATAGATGGTAAAACCAAGAAAGACAACTTATTCAGATTTAATTTCATGCTCTGTTTTGAAATAAGAATTGGAGGTTCCTCAAATTGATGGCCACAATTTTATCTACAGAAAATGACAAATGTTAGTTTTCCCGTTATGTTAGTTGTCATTGTTTTTCCTGACTATTTTGTTATTCATTATCCCACCACCAGAGGGTGGAGAAGGGAAGAAGGCAAAAGTGTAGCAGAATCTCTTCCTGCTAGATATGTTAGCAATGGGATTAAAAAAGAAAGAGTAGTGGTTATAGAATAAGGAAAATTTAAGATAAGAGAGAGCTGTCACTGATACCATTGGTCATGTTGAGAGTTTGGTACCCTGCTGGCATCTGATTTTTCTTGGCGTCCTTGTTGGCCATTATTAAAATAGGGTAAAGACATTGCATTAGTAATTCATATGTCTTGGGATCCCCTCTGGGCAGTCCTTCAAGTCTACAAGGATGTGGTGGTGTGGTCTGTCTAAAGAGACACTATGTACTGACCATCATATCCACCCTCTGTTGCTGCTTTTGTAGTAGGTGCAAATAAAGGAATGAATGAAATGCTGATGTGAATTCATGTTAGAGGTCTAAGAAACATTGCTGCAACTTAACTCTTACCTTTTCATTCATGCCTCCTCTTATTCTTTAATAAATACATGCTTAATGCTTATTTTGCACCAGCACTGTGCCAGATGCTAGCAATAAAGGAACAATGAAGAAGACATAGTCACTTTCCCTACAGGGCCTACAATTGGACCCAGAGCTACTTTAACTTCAGTACGCATTCAAAAACAGAAAAAAAAAAAACCTGCCAGGGAGTTTGATTAAAGCAAGACTTGGATGGACTCTCTACTTCCTGCATCCGAATATTCAAGAGCAGACCCGGGAGGAATGCTGTAGTAGTTAGTATGGGAATCACACTGTGAAAAACTCTTTAATCTAAAAAGTCTTCCATTCCTCCAGCAAGCATTTCTGAATTCTTAAGCTAAACCCTGGCATGATGTTCAGTACCAGAAATGCAGAGAAAAATCAGACGTAATCTCTGCCCTGAAGGACTTTACCCCTATGAGAGCATACTGTCCTGTCAGGAGAAAATTAAAACGTAATGTCGTAAGTGCTGCAGCAGTAATTTGTGTGGGGTGTTAGAGATGCCATGAGGCTGAACTGGGAGGTTTTTTTGGCTGAACTAAGTCACAAGTGTAAATGGAAGTTTTCAAAGATCAGGTGAGGGAGCCTGATGGTGGGAGAGCGATGCTCTCCAGGCATGGGAGTGCTAACTTTTAGGCTGCCTTGCTCTGACCTCCACGGGTGCCCTCATGGTGGGCTTCTCATGTGTCATTTATCAAATACTCTAGAAATGTCACCAAATGGCCATCAATAAGCCAATCTAAGCTTTAGAGATGGACTTTTGAGCTCACACACAGTTGGGCCTGGTGTGATAGCTCAGTAGATAAATTCTTACTTTACCAGTTCATGTCATGGCTGCTTCACTTCCCATCCAGCTCCCTGCTTGTGCCCTGGGAAAGCAGTAGAGGATAACCCAAAGCCTTGGGACCCTGTACCTGTGTGGGAGACCTAGAATAAGCTCCTGGCTCCTCACTTCATATCGGCTCAGCTCTGGCCATTGTGGCCACTTGGAGAAAGAGCCAGCAG